TTATTTTAATTTATTTTTTCTGTGGCTTCTTTGTAGGTTGATGATGCCTAGCTCTACCTGTTTTATTTTCAAGTTTTTTTTTTTAACTGAATTTTAGGGTTTCTGGGTTAGATGAAATAGTGGTCAATTAAGCCTACTTTAAGATTATTCCAATGATAATTTAGTCAAGTATGGATCTTGTTTTTGGTTAATTAGTTAGGGTATAAAAGGATTGAATTGAGTGGATATGGAACACATGTATGTGTTGCTTAAGCTTGTTTATATTCTAGTTCAGTTTTTATAATTTAATTTTAGTTTGGCTACCAATTGAATAGGTCAAGATTATTCAAGAATGAGTTATATAGAACTTAGTCTCCATTTATACTGTATTAGTCTGTTGATGATTTTTCATATGTCTTTTACCAATCTGAATTGCTAATAAGTCTTTAGTCTTTTCTTGAAATTGAAAATGTTTACATGCTCAGTTTGTTATATTAACAAATTTAGGCTCTTTGATCAAGCTTGATCAATGGTCGACATCCGGGTTATATGTTTTATTGAATCGGTATCACCCTTTTGAGTATTAGGATAGATATATTGTGATCTATCTGTTTTATTGTTTCATTTTTCCTACATGAACAAATTCCACAACTCTCCTTCAACTCTATTGAGACTTTCAGATTGGTTGATTTTTGTAATTGAGTCCTCTTTATAAATTTTTAATAATGGATCTAAGAGGATGCAGGATAACTTTATCCAAAGAGAGAATTGCAATCGGGAGGTCGATTGCTTATGTTCTCAAAGACCATTTTTATTCTTATTATTCATAATTCATTGCTTTAGGGTTTTAAATTTCGCACTACTTTGCACGACAAGTAGTACAGAAAATACACTTACACGGTTGTTACAGTGTGATCAACCGATCATTAGTTGATTGTAAAGATTGCTCTTTTTTGTTTTTTTCAATTTTTAAAGAAATTGATACTTTCATGGTACTGTTTATGTGTCCAGTGGTGGTGATTAAGTTACATACAAGTTTGGTCCTTTTATCTCTTGTTTGTTGTCTACCTTATTCGAGAGGATAAGTATGTTTCATTTTTTATAGATCTGTTGACTGCTAAGGTAACATGATTGCCACATTCTTATTCAATAGTAAGTGTTTCCATTATCTTTGTACCATCATGTTCATGGGTTGACATTACTGAAACACTATGGGTGGATGTCAGTGAAAGAATATACATATATATATATATATATATATAGTAATCATTTCCTATATATTAATTCAGAACGTGTTGAGCCTAAGTGGCAGATTCTCACTCTTCGGATGGTGACATAGTGAAAATCTATGCTTCATGATGTTGTTTTTATATTATTTTTGCTCTAGAGTTAAGTTTGGTATTAGACATAAATAACTTTTTTTCATATATTTCCAATCAACACCCGTGTTGTACACGGGTATTGTACTAGTATATATTTATTTATAAAAGATTTGTGTTTAATGGAAAAATTTCTTTTCTTGGGAATTAATGAATTTGCATCTTTGTTTCAGGAAGGTGTCCTTGAAGATCTAAGACAAGAGAGCATGTCAATTGAGGAGATGACTGTTAAACACAGATACATATTTGTTTTGTGTGTGTGTGTGTGTGTGTGTGTGTGTGTGTGTGTGTGTGTGTGTGTG